ATCTCCCTTCTTGCTGACTGCCAAACAGGAATAATTTTTCCAAAGCCTTGAATATCAAATCTAATACTCTGTTCTATATTGCCTCTTATACCTTCCTTTGAGTGCTTATGCAGTGCACGAGCAGTGAAAGGAGCAGTATAGTTTGCAATAGTGTATAAAAGATTGAATCTGCCAGCAATTGAGGTGCTGGCATAAATTGACTTTTCCATAAAATTTTGTTTTTGCTTGTTCATTCATCTGCTCCACTGCCAGTTTGTAGGAGGCAAATAGTATTTATCTAAAGAAAGCAAATTTTTTGTTGTTTTTTCCAAATATCCGTGCCTCCAGAAGTCCTTAACTGCCCATAAGAACTCATTGTGTAGGATAGGCATTTTCTGTTCTATTGAAGCAGAAACCACTATGCTAAATATTTTCTTCATCATATACAATAATGTATGAGTAATAACTCATACATTTTGCATGAGTAAGAAAAAGGACATGTCTTTATCTGGTTTCACTGCCACTCACCTTCCAGCATGGGTGATAGGTAGAACTCCCATTTGAAATTAGGTAATAGTTTCATTTGTCTGTTTGCATAATACTAATGAACTTCCACCGAGTGTTTGCTTCCTACAAACTGGCAGTGTAGCAGATGAATGTTGATCACGCGACTTCAGTCTTGCCCCGTTCTCTGCAGTAGAGAATAATCAATATTATACATAAAGAATCTATGGGAAAAAAAGCGTTACTTCAACACATACACCAGTCTATTCATTACGGTATCCCTAGAAGGGTGGTTTAAGGAATGGAGTTGACTTTCGATTTTCAATACCATCTGTGAATGCACAGATATAAAAGCCTTCAAATTTGTAGGTATTTAAGCCTACATCTGTTTTAAAACCAAAAGTTTAAACCAGATCAAACTTAATTGCTGATATTTTTTACAATTTTTTCCTCTTATTTGTCAGAAAAGGTGCCTAGTGTGACATACACTACATCTCATATAATTTGAGATTTGACTGCACCAGTGAGTATTGTGCTGGGAGCTCTCCATAAAGCAGGGATTCTTCACATCCCCCAAATTATCTCTGGAACATACAGGTACAATTTATTCTAAAAATTTTTGTTTTAATTCAGACAATAATGTTATTTACTAAAGTGCACTGTATAAAAATCTTACAGCATGCAGTGAAATCTTATAACATGCAGTGAAAAATATGTATCCAGTTATTTTCGAATAATAGATCATACATAGTAATTACTACTGAAGAGTTTAATCAGTTTTAATAGGCATCTTTTAATTCTGCCGTCCTTTTGTGTTGATAAGGCTACAACTTCTGGCAATATTCTTCTATACTGTCACTAAAAACAGATCAATTACAGCATATCCTTTTAACAAGTTTGAAATAAAATATGCTAAGGATATTAAAAATGTGCCAAGTATGTTACACCCGCTGCCAGTTTCAGTAGTAGTAAATTATCCTGTTTTGCAAGTCATTGCCTGTTCCTATTCACAGATTATATGAATAAACTTCTATCTTTCATTCAAAACCTTCTATTTTTGAGCAAAATTTGGAGGAATTTATATTTTTAAGTGTTTGTGATTAGACACAATAATGAAAGCAACTAAAAAAATCTAGCAGGCTTTTTCCACCTACAGATTTTCCTTTCTTTACTGTAGTATAAGTCTGACATTTCAGCCTCTAGCTACCGTATACGTTTTTGTTGTTAACAGAACTTGTTTATTACAAGAAGTTGATTTACTATAACACTAGTTAGGAAATACATTCTGAAACATCCAAATTGTGATTTGAATGGAGATGATGTGGGTGATGCAAAACAATGGAGTGGCAAACCAATTTAGAAAAGAGTCCTTTAAGACAGACTGTTTTGTATAATGAAGGGCACTTAAACTTCAGAGGCACGGACAGATAGCATTTTCTCCCACTGGTCAAGTACTCAAATACAATATAATCAGCAGTTTTCATAACACTTTCAATCTTCAGTACACTAACAAAATTGTATATAGTGGTAAGTTAGCTTGCTCCCTTACAGTGGGTAAAGTAGACATTGAGGAGGCTGGCCAGAGTTAATACATCCCCAGTGCAGCTGGCTAATCTTGTTTCTTGTTGGATTACATTAGAAATGCCAGCATTAGCTGATGAGGCTTAACCAGTTCTTGTATTCTTAGTGGCATTCACCTGAATCTTCCACATCCTTTTTTTTGTCCTATTGCTTTCCTCTATGTCCTGTATCAGTGCAAAACTATCAATTAAGTTGTATTTAGGTGATGCTGCCTACTGATGGCAGCTCTGGGAAATAGCCTTATAGGGGACTGTTTTCACTCTGGAGAGTTAATAATAGCCATTCCAGTAAACAGCCTTCTTGGGTGATGGTGACTATGGTATGTTAACTCTGAAACCTACTGATAGGAGCTTCAGGAGACAACTTTCCAGTGGGTCATGGGTGTTAAATCTGGAGCCTAATGACAACAGAAGCATCCTAGGGGCAGGGGTATTTACCCTGGAGCATATTGATAAAAACCGCAAGAACTATCCCTTATGCTGAACATTCGAAGAATGAGGGGGATAATTCTGATCACTACTGAGAGCTTTTAAAAGCTTATGTTCTATGGTTCTCTCCTTGTATGTTTATAGTAAAGGGGTAATTCTCGAACCTACTGAGGAGTTTCAAGATATCTGCTTTACCCACTAAGAGTGTACCTGATGTGCTCATACTGATGGGACTTGGGACCTCCCTAAACTGGAGGAATTGAGCTGAAGCACCCCCCATTTCCCCATGCCACATGTTTCCAGTGTCCCTGCATGCATGTCTCAAACTTGGGGCAACATCAAGGACTGATGGCCAGGATCAGAGTATCCCAGGAGCTGACGACCTGGAGAGGGGAGTCCCCAGTGTTCCTGCACAGATGTGACCTTGTTGCCCTCAGGTCATCCCTGTCCCCTTGTGCGACAAGCCCCTGCTGTGCCCATGTCCTAGGTGTCAGTGCTGACAGGGATCATCCAGACCCAGATAAAGACTTTGCTGGAGTATATGTGACTGTGGTCGTTGGGACACTCCTGCCTGTGGCAGCTGCAAGCAGATTGCTGTTACCTGCAACTCTCTCTCTGGTGCTTCGCCACTGACAAGCAAGTGGTGCAGGGTCTGCTGAATGAGGTGGCCAGCAGTGCTGTCCACTGCCTATGGACATAGGGCTGCCTCAGCAGCAGCCCCATGGAGCACAGCATCATCGAGCTCATCTGTGAGTGTGGGTGGGACACAGGGACATGCAGGGGCATGGGGTGATGTACAGGACATGGCATTGCATAGTGGGGGGCCACAAAAATGTGGGGCATTTGGGGCAACATGAGGCAGAGCTGCATGTAGACACCTCTGGAGGGGGGACACATCTTAGGCTCTGTTACATATCTGGGTACAGACCCATATCTTGTGCATCATCCCTGCACATACACGGGGACACTCAGGGTGTCCTCCCACACACAGCAAAACTGAAGGACAACCCATGGCAGTTTGCAGGCACAATCCCTGTCCCCACACAGGGTCACTCTATGTCATCAATCCCCATCTCTGCCAACCCTGGTAACACTCCTATTGCCCCCCACTCCAGTGATGCCCTCAGTGTGTGCTGACGCCCCATGTTGCCCCATTTCTTAACTGGGATTGAATGGTGCCTATGGGGGGAGGGACAGGCAGCACAGCAGGGGGTTTTGTGCACTGAATGAAGTCATTGGCCTGTCTCACACAGAGATGAGAGTCAGGATAAGACAGCAATGAAAGAGAAGCTGTCTCAAACCATAAAAACTTGGGGACTGAAAACCTTAGAGGGTTGCTAAACAAAGTGTGGGTAAACGATTGGGGTCATAAGCAAAGAGGCATGAAACCTGGGAGCATGAATACCTGGGGGGTGGGGCACTCACACTGCAGATGTAAACACTTGCACACTGACAAATTCAGAATAATGAAACTTATCCCTATCGAGCCACTTCATCTGTCTCTGGAGCATCAATATTGAAAAGCCTAGTGACCATGAACTCCCCAAACAACCTGAAGAAGTGGGCAGAGAGGGGGACAAAGCTGCTCAAAGAGATCAGGAGCATCTGAGGAGTGATGCAGACACTGGGGTCCTTCAAATGGAAAAGCCAGAGCAACTAAGATGAAAGCTTTGCTCTCTCCTACCCCTCTAATGGTAAGATTGTGGCACAGATGTCTTGGAAAAACATCAAAAGATACAGAGGACAATCTGGGAATTGGACACTATCAGCTTCCCAGCTCAGTTCAGGGGATCTCCCATTGCAAATGACTGCAGGCACTACAAGCGGTTGTTACGGCTAACTCACAACATTTATTCACCACAGAGGAAGGCCATTCTTACACTGTTGCTTAAAGATGGGTAGAAGCTCAGGGGTTGAGCCTCACCAGCAGCTAAGCCACATTAGCAGTTTACTCACTCCTTTCCCTCCAGAGCTGGATGGAGGAATGAATAGAAAGGCAAAAGCAAAAAAAGTGCAAAGTTTGAGATAAAGCAACTCTGCTTAACTCTTCCAGTCCTTGGGGAGGCTGTTCCTCCTTTCTGGCTAAGTGGTGATGCCAAAACAATTCTCCTCTGATTGCTAGGGAATGTGGTGGGAATTGGAGCAGGCAGTTCTCACAGACTCTTCGAGGCAGGAGCCTCTCCCAGCTTCATGGTCAGCAGTTCATTCCAGACTCAGCCCAGTGACCAAATCCCTGTCCTCAGGCACCACTTGACTAGAAAGGGCTGTACTGGGTATCTGTGCATGGGGACACAAGCAGGTCTCTGTGTGGAGAATCTGGGTGGGGCTGCCCCATGCTGCACTCAGCCAGTTCCATGGCAACCCCATGCCCAGCCACAGTGGAGGCCGTATGGCTGCTGCACAAACAACATCCTCAGCATCACAATGGGCCTCACCCCATGATGGCCCTCATTGGGTGAGGGTGGCCTTTTGTGATATCACCTAGTGATGCACATCACCGATGATGGATCCACCCAGCAATAGATTATGAGGACACCGAAGACCTGGCGTCCCTCGCTGGTTATATCCGGGCATCCCACCTAGCCAGTGTCAAACTCCAGGCAAGCAAGTTTGTGAGCATACGCATCTGAGACTATCTTGCTGCTGTGTTAATGCCGTGGTCCTAGGCTGCTGTGTGCCAGGCCAGCAAAATCTACCCGTGGGCACAGCAGGGAGGTTTTTCTGCATTTTTGCTACAGACTTGCTGCTCCCCTCATCCCTCCTCCTCTTTTATTTGCTACTTGACTTTCCTACTTCTCTACTTCTTTACGTTTTTCTGTGATGTTAGTTTCACTTTTTTGCCCATCTGGGCTACAGGAAAGCTCCACACCAGGGCCCTGTCAGGGAAGCCCCTCGGTAGCTCTCCTGTTTTTCCCATAGTTTTTGTAGCCACCAACATGGAGGGACCATGGGTGGGCACCTGGAGGCCTCATCCCCGACGTGGCCCCATTCTGGCAGAATTCAGCACTCCAGGACCTAAATACTGGATCCCTGGGACAACAGGTAAACCAACGATCATGGGGAGGTGTGGGGGAGGCACAGCACATCTGCTGTTTCCACTTAGAAACTACCTTTCATTGTGCAGTTGCAGGCAGATGTCCTTTCACAGGCTTTTTTTCCCAGGTCACGCGTCTCATGATCCCACCAGAGACAAAGCCCCTGCATACACATTTAGAGGGGCCAAAGGTCCAGTTGCAGAAAGCTGCTCTCCAGGTCCTCGATACTTCATCCATCCCTCCATCACCAAGATTGGGAAATATGTGCCTCCATCAGCACACCTGACCGGACGTCCCAAAACCAAGTCTGAGGTCACCCCTGGACCTAGTGAGTACCGTTTCTGCAGCTCTTCTTCCAGGCCTTACTGTTGTCCTGTGCCACAAAACCACCTCTGAATGGGCTTCAGAGTGTTCCAGACAGGAAACAAACACCTCCTCCTGACCTCTCCTCTTTGGCTTGCAGTTAGGTATCCAGCTTCACTACTTTTCTCGGCTTTTCCTCTCTCTCAGGTGACTATTCCACAGAAAAGGCTGACAAACATGTCTACTCTAATGCACCAGTACAGTCCATGGTCTTCCGGCACAAGCTCAGTGATGCTCTCCAAACACCAGGTATGGGAACTTGGGGAAACAGACTCTCTGCCTATGTGTCCTCCAGAGAACATCTGCTGCACAGCTTCTTCAACAGGCCTAGCGAGAAGCCTAGATGACAGGATGTAGCATGCTCTTGACAAGCTTCTTGCTGTCCAGGAGCACCAACTTCTCCCATCTCACAGAAGAACCAGCACTCTGGCTTTGAATGGCCAATGTCTGCCATGTGCAACAGAAGGCAGAGTCACTGGGAGGAGGGACAGGATACCCATCCTGCTTATCAGAGCTGGTTTGGTAGACTGATTCTCTCCTACCTAGGCATTGCTCCCTTTCCCACAGGACTCACCCATGCTCTCTTCCCATTCCCTTTCCAGGTCCTGGCGCCTACACCCTTCCCAGGCTGCTGGGACCCCACACAGTCTACACCCATGCCGAGCCATGCTACTCCATGAGATGGAAGAGTATGTACAACAGCTGTTTTCAAGACCTGGCCAAGGTGAGCTGTGCTTCTCTGCTCTCTTGCAGCAGCAGTGGAAGCTCAGCTGCTCTCTTTAGGGCAGCAGGGCTCCAGTGGCTGCTGCAGCCCCGTGTAACACACTCTTCCCTGCACCTGCAGCAAAGCCTGAGAAGCCATGGGGCCCCAGGCTCTCTGCTCTTACCAGCAACACTGACACCTGCAGTCCCTCGCTTTCCAACACTAACAGCTTTGGTGGGGCACAGCTCATTGGCACTAACAGCAATCTCCCTTCTCCTCTGGGAAATCTGTCTCTGCAGGAGAACAGGAGGTGCCCTCCTTCCCAAGGTTCTGTGCCTCCCACACCACTTCTCTATCCAGCCACCTAGAGCAGTGCAGCCCACATGGGGGTTCGGCAAAAATCAACACTGTTTTTTCTACCCATCAACCTCCCTGCTTCTCTTACAGACACCAGGTCCTGCGGCATTCTCCAAAGTGGAACTGGATGTCTACAAAAAGAGGGCTCCCAAGTACACAATGGGACTAAAAACTAAACTTACTGACAAGACCCTGCGTCCAGGGCCAGCAGACTACAGCGTGGGAAAAGTAAGGCAACATGTCCACAAATGTGTTATGCTGGTTGACCTTCACTTGAGGACAAGTCTGGAGAACAAGGCATCACTGTCACACTTATTTCTTCCCACTTTCCCCTTCCAGGTGACGCTGATCAAGGCCCGGGAACCTGCTTACACTTTCGGACTTCGTCATTCCCTCTACAAAGCTGCTTTATTACCTCGGATGCCTCCTGAATAAAACCAGATACCTCCAAAGATCTTTTCTGTTTACCCTCTGCTGCAGGGATGCATGGGTGTGCATGGGTGGAGACCATTGGTTCTCTCCTTTTCATGTCTACGCCTCAGCCAAAACACAGCAAGGTGAGGGCGAGGGGAGAACAGTGAGGTAACAGGGTGAGCAAGACTGACATCTCCAACAGCACTGTTTCACTTGACCAGAGCAAAGCACTGTGCTGTGAAAGCATTCCAGTGCCACCTTGCACGCTTTCATCCTACGGCTAAACATCCCACAGGTGTAGGTTGGCCCCCAAGGGCACAGCCCTTCTCAGCATCCTCCTTTACAGTGCACATGGGCGGCACCTGCGCACCAGGGTGCACCCAGAAACACAGCTGCTCTGCATCACCTCTTGACACGGGCAGGGCCTCATTTCCATAGGCAAGTCGCCAGAACACCAACAGTTACGGAGAAAGAATCATTACACTCAGTCTGAAAATGCAAGAACCCAGATGGCAAGGGACCTCGGAAGGTCCATCCAGCCCTTGTGTGAGAAAGGCAGCCCGGAGGAGAATATCTAGCACCCAGCCAACTGCAACTTGATTGCCCCCAGCGATGGGATTCTACTGCATCTCTGGGGAGCTGTTCTTCCCTTCTGGCTAAGTGGTGATAACAAAACGATTCTCTCCTGGTTTCTAGGCAAAGGGGTGGGAATTGGAGCAGGCAGTTCTCACAGACTCTTCGAGGCAGGAGCCTCTCCCAGCTTCATGGTCAGCAGTTCATTCCAGACTCAGCCCAGTGACCAAATCCCTGTCCTCAGGCACCACTTGACTAGAAAGGGCTGTACTGGGTATCTGTGCATGGGGACACAAGCAGGTCTCTGTGTGGAGGATCTGGGGCTGCCCCATGCTGCACTCAGCCAGTTCCACGGCAGCCCCATGCCCAGCCACAGCAGAGCCCCTTAGGCAATATGGCTGCTCCACAAACAACTGAATGGTTAGTCCGAAGATGGTGCCAGCAGTGTCTGGGTGCCCATTCATCTGATGGAAGGGTAGGTGTGACAGCAGGAGGCAATAAGCAAAGTTCCCAGGATCGCGATACTCAATCCCTACTGTGTCCTCAGTGAACGGACATCCCCCATAGCTTTTGGAGGGCACTGCTGGAGGAGGGACATAGTCTTTCAGGGAGCTGTGACAGTGGAACCCATGCTAGAGTGTACCCAGGCAGCGCCTGAGCATGGCTCCAGGCAGGAGCTGCCAGCGGTGGGGTGCAACTGCCATGGGGAAAGGAGAGTGGGCAGCAGGTAGTTTTTTTATTTTCTCACTATCTGAATAAATAGCAGTAAATTACACTAATTTTCCCCAGCCGAGTCCATTTCACGCATCGTTATCTCCATTGACGAGCTTTTCCGCATTATTTTCCACCCCTGCCCTCCTGCTGAAGATGGGCCTTGGAAGACCTTTACTGCCGGTGTCTCCTCACAGTGAAACCCAGAGCAGACGTTTTCCTTCTCAGGTGCCCTTGTCTTTGAGTTGAAATGCCTTTGGTTAATGGAAGTATTTTAACTAAAATTATATCAAGATCTAGGTGAATTAAAAGGAGCAGAGCAAAAAAAATTTAGAATAATAAGAAAAAATAAAAGCTACTATTGCAAAGGACGGACAGAATGTAGCACCCCAGCCCCAGAATTGCAAGCTCATCTGCGGGTTTTACTTTTAAAAATATACAGGGTTCTTCAATACCTTGAGATAGCGTAAAGAGAATAAGCCACACACTTTTTCTCAGTAAGTGTCTTTACTAATAATTTAGGGGAGAAAATAAGAGAAATTGGCAAAAGTTCAAAAGGGTAGCATACAATCAAACAAAGCATTCCACCAAAGTACTGACCCAGTGCATCACAACCCTCACAATTTAGCAGGATCAAATCCCACTAACTTTAAGATACCCAAAACATCAAGGAGCAAAGAAAGAGAAGAAAAAGCAAGGAGAGAAGAGAGAGAGAAAGATTATAATACAGCTACCACTGGATCCTTGTGGAAGTCCAGCTCTCACATGTCTAAACGGCAGGACCATGACTGTGTGGAGAGCATATGCCTTTGGTTTTATCTGCTCTTGTCCTTATGGCCACCCCCTGTCTCAGGTGGGACCTCCAGCCCACTGGCCATTCTAGGGCTCCAGACCAGGGTGAGGGGCAATGTTCTTACTGTCCCTGACAATCTGAGACTGGGTTAGGGGCTCCAGGAGGTGTGGTGTGTTGAAGCTTTCCCAGGCTGCCTTTGACTGGCAGCTGCTCTGGGGTTTCTCTGTGTGTGCTCCAGGGGCCTGCTATGAGGGATAGGGTCCCATGTCACCTCCATGAGGTTCCACTCAACCCCTCCCCCCTCCACACACACACATCCCCAAGCTGGTTCTGACCCAATGATATAATCTAATGCCTCACACAGAGGGAAATGAAGCTTGGGTTAACATACTGGATGTTCAGTCCTTTGTGGTACAGGAAAATGTTAGAAATTGTATTTTTAATCTACAAAAGAAATTTTGCTTTACTAGTATTAGGTAAATGGATTGACACAGGCAATCTTGCTGTGGTCCATATATATGAAATTCCTGCATCACACGTGGTACAAGAGATGTCCCGGGTGCAAGAGTGGGAGCCTCACAACCCAGAGGGGGTGAGAGCCTCTCTGTGTTTGGCATATTGCAATATATTGCAGTTCACATGTGCCCAGTCATCTGCATTTATGGTGGGCTTTTTGTCTGATTTTGTGTGGTTTAATTACCTAGTGTTAACAAAACCATAAGTGCATAAAAGGCTTAAAAATTTCCCTGAACAGAAATTGCACATTGCAGATCATACTCAACCTATTTCAAACAACCTGTGTCCTTGGGCACCACTGGACTAGAAAGGACTGTGCTGTGTCTGTGCATGTCTCGTTGCTCACACATCCTCATCATGGACCAGTTCATCAGCCTGGGACCCAAGTACTCAATTCCCCCAGACAGTAGGTAAACTGAACATCATGGGGTGGGGGAGGGGGATATCCTTGACTGTCCCCATGTACCTGCACTGATGATGCATAAGGTATATATCTGTATCCAGAACTTAAAAGATGTTCTCTTAATATGTGATCCCCTAGCCCCACTCTTGTGTGTCCCCATGTCCTCCCTTCACTCACAGATGAGGTCGATGACACTGCTCTATGGGAACAATGTTGAGGCAGCGGTGGACAGCATTTGTTGGTTTGTACAGATTTTGTACCCCCAACAGTAAGGTGTGCTTGTCTTGCCTGGAAGAAAGGCTGGAGAAGTGGTACTCACTTGGTCCAGGGGTGACATTGGTCTTGATCTTGGGACATCTGCAGATGTGTAGTGCTGGATCCACATCCTTCCTATTCTTGTTGATGCAGGGATGGATGTAGTACTGGGGACCTGCAGAGCAGCTGTCTGCGATGGGACATTTGGCCCTTTGCAATGTGTGAAATTTCTACGGTTTCTCAGTAGAAGCAACAGATGCGCTGTGACCCTTTCCAGCCCCAAGTCCTGCCCCTGTGATTCTTGGTTTACCTGTCATCTCAGGGATTATGTACTTGAATCCCAGGGTGGTGATGTGGCCACATGGATGATGAGGCCTCCAGGTACCAGCCCAGGCTCCATCCATGTTGGTGGCTACAAAGCCTATGGGAAGAACAGGAGAGTTGCTAAGGAGCTTCCCTGACAGGGGCCCAGTGTGGAGCCTCCCCGTAGCCCAGAGGGGAAAGAAACTTAAACTACTATTACAGAAGAAAGTGAAGAAGAACCAGAGGAGAACAGCAGGAAGATGAAGTAGTAGATGATGAAGGAGGAGAAAGGATGGAAGAGAAGGGAGCAGAAAATTTGTAGAACAAGCTCTCTCCTGTGTGCTCAGGCAGTGCTTGTAGGCCTGGCAAGGAGCAGACTGGCACCCCAGCACTGCCAGGCCCAGTGCCACACACGGAGCTTGCTCTGACAGGTCTTCTCCTATCTTTCTCCTCTAGACAGAAGGCTCAAGGGTGTTCCCCTCTGCTCAGCACCCATCAGGCCTCATTCAGCACTATGTCCTCTTTGGGGTCCCAAAGATAGGCTGACAAACTTTAGGGGCTCAGAGGAGGCAAGGATTGTCTGTGTGGCGGGGGCTGGTTCAGCACAGAGCAGAGAAGGCCTTGGTGCATCTCACAGCGCGACACGGTGCCTATGGGTATGACACCTAAATATGTTTTGCCCTTGAAAAAACAACAAACAGACCTTGATGATGTCTGCAAGGCAGAAATGTGCAATGAGGGAAAAAAAAAAGTGATTTTTTTTGTTAATCTAACAGCCATATGTTCTTGTACTGTTGGGTCGCACGATAATACAAATTCACATTTGAACACCTCAGATTTCTGTTTCATGTCTTATTTTCAGTGGTCCCTTAATTTATGTTTTTTCTTGGAGAGGGTGATTTGGGCCTAGTGTTTGTAAGCAGAATTTGCTGCTGAGGGTAACGTTCAGGAACAACTCTGTGGTGCCACCTTTGGGAGCTTAAGCATGCAAATAAAGGCAAGAGAGGCCTTTCCCTAGAATGCAGAAGAAACTGAGCAGACTTTCCTGTGTGCACTCTCAGGGCACACAAGAAAAGCTGGATGCCAGCCACAGACACATAATGTTTTCAAATTTCTCCCCGGTAAGTAAATATAGATAAATTCTCCATACATTGTAACTGCCAGTGTGTTTAGCAATTATTGAAAATGCTGGTGAGTCTGATAAGTTATTTTCATGTTTAAGTTTGCATCTTAGTTTTAGGGAACAGTTATCGAAGGGAAATTTGTCAGAAACATTAGCAAGAGTGTTATTATATTAGTCTTAATGATAGGAAAGCAAGCAGCATGTGTGCTCTAAGACACTGAATCTCAACCAGCCAAATGGCAAGGATTGGCCTGAAATATCTAACTCTCCTCTTGAGACTGTGACATGCTATCGATTTGCGTTGCTGAGTTGTCTCAGCATTAACTTGAATAATTAAAAAATTTCCATAATGAAAGGTTTTTTA